TCACTAATTAGCACTAATGAGTGAAACCCTGTGAGCACAGATTAAACCGTATTTAGGCTATGAAGGGGTATTTCTACAAAAAAAAAATCATGACCATGCCCCCTTCTCCGGCGTTACTTCAGACGATTGCCGCCTCCCTAAAATGAGTGGCTGGATCCACCCCTGCGCAAAACTGGTATGGTGTGGCATCACTGCATGGCGAACATAAGTGACAGGCCCTCATGTGGAAATCGACATGTGTCATGTAAGAACATGACGAAATGCTACGCTCATGATGCGCTCGCAGTCGTTTTGCAAGCTTCACATACACCAAATTTGGTGCTACGAGACTTGAATGAATGATGAAGGCATGTGACCGGAGCAAACATGATAATTATGACATGCGTGTCATGCAAGAACAAGACTACATGCCATGCTTATAATGCGCTCGCAATCGTTTCGCTAGCTTCACATACACCAAATGTTGTATTACGTGACGTGAATGAATAATGAAGGTATATGACTGATAAAAATATAATAATCATGATATGTGTGTGATGTAAAAACATGACTACATACCATGCTCATGATGCACTCGTGGTCGTTATGCTTTACATACAACAAATTTGGTATCACGCGACGTGAATAGATGATGGAGGTATGTGACTGGTGCAAACATGATTATCATGAGATGCATGTCGTGTAAAAACATGACTGCATGCCACGATCATAATGCGCTCGCGGCCGTATAGCTAGCTTGATATATACCAAATTTGGTATTACAGGACATCAATAGATGACAAAGATAAATGACACGTCCAAACATAATAATCATGACATGCGTGTCACGTAAAACATGACTACATGCTACGCTCATGGCGCGCTCACGGCCGTTTTGCTAACTTCACATATACCAAATTTCGTATTACGTGACGTAAATGGACGACTGAGCACAAATGCCAGGCGCAAACATAATAATCATGACATGGAAGTCATGTACAGCATAATTTACGTTCGCCTCGTAACGTTGTGCTGATCTTAATGTGACGATTCAACCTTCCTCAGTCGTGCTTCGCATATCATAGATTCCCATTGTACGTGAGATCTACACTTTTTTTTTTATCTTGCTCAGCTCTGGCCATAGAGCTTTGCGTGATAGTGAGCCGTCATCGCCTCCTCCATCTGCCTGTGACAACAGTGGAAGGCATCCTTTTTTCCGCGCGCTCAAAGACGGCAGCCCTCCGAGCCTTCTTCGAGTTCTATTCATCTGCGGACCTTGCCGCCTTAAAAACGAACGCTTTCGCTTCGTTCTACAGACTGCACTGACAAGACGTTCTCTAGCCATATGCCTTTCACTTTTTCTCTCCTCTCTTCTTCCTATATCGTCTTTACTTCGCCTCTTTCATCCCTAAATGTGCTGAGCCGTGCTGCCACGATGGGAGGCAGAAAATACCGTCCTTTTTATCTCTTCCTCCTTCATTAACCCTTAGACACTGCGCCATTCTCCCTTAAGGGCTGAAGAAATGAAGCGTCCCATTCTCCTTTTAACCACAACCACCACCGTTAACCTCCCTCTCTCTCACGCACTGACCTGCCTGGGCAAGCAGGTCAGTGCGTGAGAGAAAGCGGAAGAACAGACGTGTAGCCAGACTAGTGTCATCATCATCATTAGCCTGACTTCGTCCACTGCAGGGCATTTGCCTCTCCCATGACCTGCCAATCAACCCTTCGTGCGTTTGCTTTCTTTGGGAATTCATTCAATTACCCTTAATGACCAGCGGTGATCCTGCCTACGCACTACGTGTCCAGCCCATTTTTTTTCTTGATTTTAACTATGATATCCTTAACCCTGGCTTGATCCCTGACCTACTCTGCTCTCTTCTTGTCTCAAAGTTACACTTATCATTTTCCTTTCCAGCACTTGCTGCATCGTCCTCGATTTCAGCTCAACCCTCTTTGTAAGCCTCCAGGTTTCTGCTCCGTAGGTAAGTACTGGCAAGATGCAGCTGTTATATACCTTCCTGTTGAGGGTTAGTGGCAGATAACCATTCATGATTTGAGAATGCATGCTGAATGTGATCCACCCCATCCTTATTCCTCTAGTCATTTCACTCTCATGGTTCGGCTCCGCGGTTACTACCTGTCCTACGTAGACATACTTTTTTACAACCTCCAGCGTCTCTCCACCTATCGAAAAGTGCTGTTTACTGCCGAGACTGTTGCACATTATTTTAGTTCTGTGCGTATCAATTTTCAGACCTACTTTTATGCTTTCCGTGTCCAGTCCAGCAATCATGAGCTGTAATTCATCCCCTGATAAACTCATCAAGGCAATGTCATCATCGAATCACAGGTTACCAAAGTACTCTCTATTAACTCTTATCCCTAACACTTTCCAATCTAGGGTCCTTACAATCTCCTGTAAACATGCGGTGAACAGCATTGGAGAGATCGTGTCTACCTGCCTTACACTCTTCTTTATTGGGATTCTGTCGCTTTCTTTATGGAGAACTATGGTGGCTGTGGATCCTCTGTACATTTCTTCCAGTATGTTTATGCATAGGGTTCTTCGTTGCCCCAATTTCGTAGTGCCTGTATTAGTGCTGATGTCTCGACTGAGTCAAACGCCTTCTCATAATCTATGAAAGCTATGTACAGGGGTTGCTTGTATTCCGCGCATTTCTCTCGATAGTTTGAATGTGTCGGATTATGCAGTAGCCTCTATGAAATTCTGCTTGATTCTCTGGTTAAATGAGCTTTAATGTTACCCTAATTCTAATAGCTATTATATTTTAGATAGTTTGTAGCGAACGCACAGTAAGCTGATCGGCCTGTCATTTTTCAAGTCCTTGACGTCTCCTTCCTTATAGATTAAGATGATGTTACCGTTCTTCCAAAACTCTGGTACCCTTCCCGTCAAAAGACACTTCGTGTATAAGGTGGCTAATTTTTTTAACACTATTTTTCCACAACATATCAGGAGGTCCGTTGTTACCTTATCCTCGCCAGCGGGTATTGCCTCTTTGCATTCCTTCTAGGGCTTTCCTTACTTCCCCTGTTGTTACTGGTAGGATGTCGAATTCCTCTGGTCTATTACGTTTATCGCGATATCATCCTGGTTCTTTTAGCTTCTGTACAGCTCTCTGTAGTACTCCTCCACCATCTCGACTATCCTATCCATGTTGGTTATGACATTACCTTCCTTGTACCTCAACGCATACACCCGATTTCTGCCTATGCACAAGTCTGCCTTCGCAGCTTCGAGGCTTGTACAAGTATGGCTGAAAACTTATATACTTATGCATATATGGCTGAAAACTTTCCTAGTCCATCGCTCTCCCATTTTTCTCAATTACTCCTCAAATTCTATCTTGTTACTAGCTTCCCTGTCCTTGAATGATGTCCATCCCATGTTACCTTGTACCCCCTGATTTGGAGTATTCCAGTATGCTCCCACTTGAATCTCTGATCGCATGCACAAGACGGCATTGCCAAACGCCAAACCAGGAACCATGACCCCTTTCCAAATTCTTCTCACAATATCATAACTAATGTAGTTACACATTGTCTTATTTTTTCAATACATCTGCATTTCTGTTGTGTTAAAGCCCCGCCGCAGTGGTCTAGTGGCTAAGGTACTCGGCTGCTGACCCGCAGGTCGCGGGATCGAATTCCGGCTGCGGCGGCTGCATTTCCGATAAAGGCGGAAATGTTGTAGGCCCGTGTGCTCAGATTTGGGCGCACCTTAAAGAACCTCAGGCGGTCAAAATTTGCGGAGCCCTCCACTACGGCGTCTCTTATCATATGGTTGTTTTGGGACGTTAAACCCCACATATCAATGAATCAATTTGCTGTGTTAAAAGTCGTTACGTATCCTCCGTGCTCCCTTAGGCACTCAGATTATCCATGTGCCAAGATATTTGTACTTATCCACCATATCCAGCGTGACCTCCTGTATCTTATGCTCACAGCCTTCGTTATTAAAATTATGATTGCCGATTTTTTCTTGCAGAACATCAAATCTAACTCATCTCCCTCATTACCGCAGATGTATATCAATCCCTGCAAATCTTCCCTCTTGTCGGCCATTAATACTGTATCGTCTGCATACATCAATGCTAGCTGGCAAAGACTGTTCAACTAGCTTTACTAGCTTGGCAAAAGAGAGGCTGCAGCCGAGTCCACTCCCCTCTAATTTGGCTTTTAATTTTTGCAGATACAGCATAAATAACAAAGGTGACAAGGGACACCCTTGTCAAAGCCCCCGTTGCACCTCTATAGGCTCGGATACTTGTTTGTCTTATTTTATAATACCTTGTTACATTTATAGATGTCTATTATAAAATAATAATCTGTCTATTTCAGTTGTGTTAAGGTTATTTTATAAACTTGTCGTCACTTCTATGCCGTGCTCCTGAGCCAGTTGTGTGTGGGATCATCTCGTGCACCGCGCAGGAGACTCATTTTTTTTGTCTTTGGGTCATCTGGACACTGCCGGTGTGCCACCGCCTGGCTATGCCACTGAAAGGAGGGCATTGGTTCTTTGCGAGCTTGCACCTACACAAAACCAAGACTCCTCCCGAGGAAAAAAAAGCCACCCGACGTGAGCGTCCGAACGAGAACAAACATTTCGTCGCTGAGTTGACCGCAACGTTCATGCAAGAGACACTGAAGCTAAACGCCAATGAAGGGTGAAGAACATAATGAAGGAGGGACATCATTTTTGCTGTTTCGACTGTGTTTGCAAGGAGAAGCTGGCTGGATTTCTTCCTATACTAGCAGAAATGATAGACATTTAAAATTTTGTAAATAGGATACTACCACTTGAAGGTACGGTGTTTAGCTCACCTATTTTTCAGGTATTGCTGCAAACAGTCACATTGCCCCATCAGTGATAGGCCCGCACATTACCATTCATATTAGGCAGGATGGTACATACTCTACAAAAATGGAGGAGAAACAACCAAAACTTAAGTATCTCGTGGTCAAATTGTTTTCCAACCATAAAGATACAACAAATATTAAGTTACATCCCATTTATTGTCATTGCAATAAATAACTCAATACCATCTAAAAATGCAGCAGGCACCACACATGAAAAATATATGATCACACAATAGATAACTTACAAAACAAATATCTAGTAGCTACCCTCTTGCTGACAAACTGCAATAATAAACACTACAAATGCTGTAATAAATAGGCAATAATAAATAGGCTGCGGGCAATGTCTAAATGTCAAACAGTAAAAGGAAGTGATAATGCGAGTTTTTTAACAGATGCTGTCAAATGTACCTCTCTCGTTGCCTAGGGGGAATTTTCGAAATTATGAAGTGTATAGACTGCCAGAAATGGAGATGAGACAAGTCAGTGTACTAGAACATTAATGAAGAAGCTGTGATCACTACATGGTAGTACTAGTCAATATGAGTTTAAACACTGCTACAATGACAGTGAAATCATGAGTTGATCTTTTACATCACAAGAACCAAGTCACGAAATTTGGGATAAACATTGTATGGCAGCTTTTGTTGTGCAGAAACTTCGTCATCCCATAATATCATAGGAAAGAGTAGGTGAGGTGGCTAAAATGTTGCTAGTGTTTGGTGGTTCCACCAACATAAATCCTGCCGTGTTCATGACCAACATCTTACATGTTAGTATTCTTACAACAAGATAACAATACCATTGAGCATGTTACAGTAAAGTGAAGTATATTTTAGAAATATTAAAAGCAAAGAATTACATCAGTGCCTCAAAAGCACTACAAGCAATCACAAGCAGTGTGAAGTTCAATGGAAAAATTAATTATAGCATTACTGTACAAACAGGCAGTATAAAAATGCAAGTGCATCATTTGCAAACCAAGATGCATGACATGTAAGAAATGTAGCATGAAAGATCACAGATGCTATGTGCATGCACGTGTTTTGATGCATGAAGAATGAGACAGTGGTTCAAGCACAGGAATAAACATTCCGGCAGACAGATACAGATTGTGACAAGTGGAAAGAAAGTGTTCATCATGCTACTTTACATAAACCAGCAGCTTCAAATTAGCAGCCCTACCAAATGATATCGCATGTGAAACTTGTTTGGCTGGATAAATCATTTAACAAACACAAAAATGCATCTAAACTTACACACGTACAGTGAGTAGAACTAGAATTGAATTAAACCCCACTCTTGAAATAAAATCGAAGCTTTCACAGATAAATCCAACACAGCCTAAATATCAGACCAACATCTCATTGCACCATGTTTGAAGCCATACAAAACAAAACATGTAGTTCCCAACTATAGCCACTACCAATTATTCTAATATGATAACCTTTGTAGTAAAGGCATAAAATGCTCCTTTCCTATGCATCCATTTAAGCTCTACATTGTTAAGAGCACTTCGAGGAAAGTATAGAAAATCCTGCCATACAAGCAACAGCAATTAAAGTATGCTATAAATATTGCACATCATGCTTTTGCTATCGTATGATGCTTAATGCAGCGTGATGAATTTGAGAACAGTGAAGTAAATGTTATAATCTGTTCTGCATGGAGTGAGATGAATGCTGAGCCTGAAGAAGCCGGTCACGTAGTACTGTCAACATACTGCAGCTCATAATGGCCACAACCTTCATGTCGAAAAACAGCTGACACAAGGCCAATGCATTCGCCAATCCGGACAGCTACACTAGGCAGCCTGTCACAAAGTTCAGCTATGCCCTGGTCCGAGATTCCCTGGTCTATCTCGAGCATTATCACTTTTAGCTCAGGTGCTACTCGTGCCAGGTGCAGCAAACCCACATCTGTCACCTGGGTCTGCACCAAACAGATTGACTGCAACTTGGTCATGCCACCAAAGTTGCCCATGGAGGCTAGTGAGCTATCCTTCGTTGCTGTGCACCCCACGTATAGGTGTTCCAACAGAGAGCAATGAGACGCAACTATTTCCAGAGCGTTCTCGGCAATATATGTCCCTTCCACATCAAGCAATGTTAGCTTAGACAACTTGCGCAGCATATCCTGAAAATATCCAGTGCTATCCAAAAACGGGCAGCCCTCAAGGTACAGCTGTGTAAGGCTAGGAAGCCAGGGCCAAGGCTTGGCTTCTGCATCAGCGACGAAAAAGCAGCGACCCAAATCGAGCACCTGCAGCCGCGAAAGATTTTGGCCCTGCCGACTAGCCTTGAAGAACGATGACCTGCCGACAATAGATCCACGCAAAGAAAGGTGCTCTAGAGTATCGGGAAAGTCGGCTAAGCGCACACACTTGTCGCGCGACGAAGAACGGAAACTGAAATTGTGGATGCGCAAGCGGCGGAGGCGTGGGCAGCGACTCTGAATACGCCGCAGGGCACGCGGCGACACGCTACACGCCCAGAGACAGTGGTGATCGCCAAATACACGCAGCTCCTCAACAGCAGGTGGCATGGCACGCATCTGGAGCAGCAGTTTCAGTTGTTTGGGGGTCAGCTGCACGTGCGACAGGTCCACACGTCGATGCAGGGTGCGGTCCCGTGACAGCGCGTACCACTTGCGGCACACCCTGCGCAAATCACACGTAACTCATGCCAGGAAAAACATGTAGTGCATAAAAAGCACTGCAGTTATGAATACGAAAAATATCCAGCAACGCTCAAGTTGTCAGAGCTTCAAGACAACCTAAAAGCGCAGAATGACAAGTTCCTCACTTGCAGTTACAGTCACGAAGCCGTAGCAATGCAAGTGGTAAATAACCAGCAGGCAATTGAAATTTATCGATTGCAGATGCTACATACACGTGAAATACAGATATGAGGACCGCAACCCCTGAAATGTTTTAGCTAACGTTTCTTCTGTTAATCGGCTTGTGGAACACACCGTACAAATTATCGTAAAACGTCTTTTCATTTCGCATACTCACAGGCCAATAACACATAGCTCCAAGAAGTCAAGATAATTGAAGATGTTGAGGAGAACATAATCTGGAAGATGATCGATTGTCGTAGTGAACTTCCTCTTGGAAAAACGCAGAGTGCTGAAATGGGTCAGTGCAATCTCTTTGAGGGAATCACCGCTGCCCACAAACACGTTTCCCATTTCTTGTCAAAGTGCACGATCCATCCGCTTCTCGCTCGACATTGTCAATAATTCGTAAAGTTCCTCCCTCGAACACATGCGCTACATTATCTACAAGTGCAAGGGCACGTCATGCGATGCGAAGTCAGTAGGGCTTCATTGCGTCGCACTGCTACGGTTGCCATGTTTGTTTTCGATTGAAATTGTGTGGCGCGGCGTTGCGCTGGCCACGGAGGAAGGGCGCTGGCAATGCGCTACATCATGATGTGCTAGCGCCTAGTGGTAGTATATAGGCGTTCTGTGGCAACACGCCCAAAATGAGCACGTGACTCACTCATTCGTTTCGGTTTCGATTCAGTTTTATTCTTGCGCATGCGGCGAAAAATATGAAAGTGGACAATGTGTAAACACATAAAGAACTACGCCACACAACCAGCCTTGGCAAATGAACGCTCTGTAAACACTTTTTTTTCACAGTATCAGCGGTGTCGGCCCTACACGTAACCAGCTGGAACATGTAACGTGCGGTGCGGGCGCAATACCGTAGCATGGCTGCGTGGGCCCACGGAGGAAAGAAAGAACTTCCTTCATGCGTCGGCTGCTACTTGTTGAAGCTGTTCTTGGTCAAGGCTTTCATGTCGGAGACCGTCGTAGATTGTAGTCGGATTTACCCATAGAGCCCACAACGGATATGTGCCGGTCCTTCCAATAACTCACAACTCGCCACTACGATCCCGCCACTCTCTTCGTGCCACTTCACGCAACCCCACTGCACGTCACCAGCTTCCCTGTTTCATATCAGTGTCTGCCAACTGGTGCTGGCAGATAAATTTTTTTGCCCTTTATTTTTCTTTTTCTGGGGTGGGGGCTGCGAGGGCTCAAATTATTGTGAGACCCCCTTATCTCCCCCTTTCCCCTTCATCCACGAATGAACACAGGACGTCACCGAAAAGGGCGATAATGAAGTCACCCGTAACTCTGCTTATATAATTAAGCATTTGCATAAAACGGTTTTAAAGAGAAAGCCATAGCCGAAAGCTCAGCTCTCTGTCCACGACATGTACGTTTTGCCTCCTCCATAGAGTTAATCTGTATATTAAATCTATGGCCTCCACCATATGCCTTTGACCAAAGGACAATGTCATGTAATGATGTTATGATGACGTCATAAATTTTAGCGGCCAGTAAGGTTTGAAAAAGAAACAAAATTAGGCAGCTTCGTCCTAGCCGTGCAAAGCCTGAAGAAAGTGTGCAGCTGGGCAGCCTTCTTTGTGTTTCTTTGGTTTTCTGTTTCCTCCTCTCTTTTCCGTCGTTTTTTCAGCATGGTTTTTTTCTCGTCATTTCTATTTATTCGTATTTTTGATTGATATGGGGGTTTAATGTCCCAAAACCCCCATATGATTATGGGAGACGCCATAGTGGAGGACTCCGGAAATTTATACCACCTGGGGTTCTTTAACCTGCACAGGCTGCACTAGGGTGCCTAGAAAGGGTAGGTGTGCTGAGTCTGAGTGGCTTGAGCGCCGCGCGGTTGTCTTGCCAGAGAGGGCCCCTCTGCGCGCCGATGCCACTAGGGGTGCTGCTGTATAGGGCGCTGTAAAACATACACAAATCTAATTAGACTGTTTGGACTAGAGCTTGCTAAGGTACGTGACAAGTCACCCCGGAAAAGAAGACACAAGCCCAAGAGTTGGTGGGATGAGTAAGTTAAGAGAGCCATAGCAAAACGTCAGGAAGCCTCTAGAGAACACAGACATGCTAAGCAGCGGGGTGAACCGACAGATGATGTTGAAAGAAAATGGGACATCTTTCTAAGCTCTAGAAGAGAAGCATCCCTCCTGATCCATGAAAAGATCAGAAGAAAGGGTGCTCAGTGGCTGGCAGAAGTACATAAAAAGGACATAAAGGCAGCTGCAAAATTTTGGAACCATCTAAACTCCCTAAGAAATGAAACAAATCTTGAGCAGAGGTTTATAACTGCAGTTCAAGGTGCTAGGCTAGAAGGGGACGAAGCTATTGAATATATAAGAACAAGGGTGACGGAAAAATTTCAACAAAGAAGTGCCTTATGCACCGCAATAGACAGGGATGGATCAAGTGGCACAATGGCACCATTTTCACAACGAGAGTGGGAAAGGGCTGAGAAGAGGGTTCCAAGTAGTACATCAACAGGGCCAGATTGCATTCCAATTATGCTGATAAAGACATTGGGTCCGAAGTCTAAACAGACTTTGAAAGAGGAAGTGAGCAGAACAATAATCGATGATGAAGTCCCCGATGGATGGAAACTTAGCAGAATGAGCATGATCTATGAAGGAAAGGGGGACAAAGCTGACACAAGCAACTACCGTCCTTTAACAGTGACATCAGTGGTCTACAGGCTGGCGATGCAGGTTATAAAGGAAAGACTGCAGGCATGGATAGAGGATGATGGGGTGCTGGCGGAACTGCAGAATGGGTTTCGGAAACACAGGAGGTTGGAAGACAATCTGTTCTCACTGACGCAGTGCATCGAAATAGCAGAAAAGGAACTCAGGCCCCTGTGGCTAGCATTTTTGGATATCAAGGGAGCGTACGATAGCGTGGTTCAAGAGAACTTGTGGGGAATACTGGACACACTAGGTGTGGAAGATGGAGTCACCAATCTTTTAAAGGAAATCTATAAAAGTAACAAGGTAGTTATAGCGTGGGAAAAACAGGTATCCAAGCCCACAGAGGTGAAACGGGAGATTAGGCAGCGGTGTCCTCTGTCACACTTGTTATTCATGACGTACCTACAAGAATTAGAGGCCAAATTGGAGGGAAGTGGACTTGGCTTCAACCTCTCTTTCGTCAAACGAGGAAAACTTATTGATCAGGCACTACCAGCATTAATGTATGCAGATGATATAGTGCTAATGGCCGACAACAAGGAAGATTTGCAGAGATTGATGGAAATCTGCGGTAATGAGGTAGATAGGTTATATTTCAGATTCAGTAAGGAAAACCCAGCAGTCATGATTTTTAATGATAATGAAGGTTGTGAGCTTAGGATACAGGAAGTCACGCTAGAGATAACAGATAAATACAAATATCTGGGCGTATGGATAAGCAATGGGACCGAGTACCAAAGGGAACACGAAATATATGTGACGACTAAAGGTAACTAACATATGAATTCAGCAGCGATGAAAAATGGGGCATTGTGGAATTACAATAGGTATGATGTTGTGAGAGGAATATGGAAAGGGGTCATGGTTCCTGGGCTGACGTTCGGCAATGCGGTCTTGTGCATGAGATCAGAATTTCAAGCAAGATTAAAAATTAAGCAACGTGGAATAGGTAGGCTTGCTTTAGCAGCTCACGGGAACAGACCAAATCAGGGAGTACAAGGTGATATTGGATGGACATCATTTGTGGGTAGGGAAGTTAGCAGCAAGATAAAATTTGAGAAGCGATTGAGAGAAATGGGGGAGAAGCGTTGGACTATGAAGGTTTTCAGCTACTTGTACATGAAGAATGTCGATACAAAATGGAGGAAGCCAACCAGGAAATTGACTGGTAAATACTTAGAAAACAGCAGGTGGCCAAACCAAAAAGAACTATCCGTTAAGAAGAAAGTGAAGGAAACGAAGACTGACACATGTGGATAATTGGCATGATTAAGAAGTCTGCACTAGAGATCTGTCGAACTTTTAAGCAGGAAATTGCCAAGGAAAGGATCTATGATAATACTCGGGGTAGTTCTCTACTGTTTGAGGCCAGGACGGGAGTATTGCGAACCAAGACATATCGGGCCAAATACGAAGGGTATGCAGTGCATGTGGAGATGAGGAGGAAACTGCCGAACACTTGATAGCGTTCTGTAAAGGGCTTCAACCTATAGTTCAAGATGATGGCGCAGAGTTTTTCAAAGCACTGGGGTTTAGGGACAGAAAGGGCAAAGTAGACTAAGCGGGTAGAATTATCTAGAAGAAGGTTATCTGATTGGTGGCTAAAGTCAAGGCACGAGTGAAAATTAAACCCTTCACTGCAAAGTACCAGTCCTCAACTTCACTATTTAAAGGGGAAAAAGATAAAACTAGTGGTTAATTCACTAAGTGTTACGGCTAGGTGGCGTTAGCCACCGCCCGATCTAAAGGGTACAGCCACATCTATCCATCTATTCATCCTGTAGAGTAACTATATATCCTTCTACACGGAGGAGCCCTTCTAGCCTCCATAGTAACTGTATATGGTCCCTACAGAGTAGCGCAACTGTTTTCCAACTCCGCCGGCGCCCCCAGCAACCATGCATTGCGGAGAAGCTGACGCTCAGGCCAATTTTGTGTTTTCCGACGCCGCCGCTGCATTGGCACGATCATCGGCAGTCAAGTTCAAAACGAATCCGGTTGGTCTTCGCGCATTTTATGAATGCGGTTCATGGATGTGTGTGGGTACAGTGTACTAGCGGGTGACTGTGAATCAGCTCTATGTGCGCACCAGGTCTGCAGTTCTGCCATCACAGCCATCGGGATGTTACAATGACTGGGTAAACTGGTAAAAGATTTTTTACCAGCTGCTCAGTGCTCCTTCGTTTGTGGTGTACGGGGAACTGCAAGGTTCTTTGTTGCGCATTCATATCTGTTCAAAGGGAGCCGGATTACCTATCTTCATGTAAAGAAAATATATTTATTCGCCACTAACGTAGCTACAAGGACGCGGTTGTTTAATTCGCTGAATTTTACAGCGAAAGCTCTTACGAGATCGCAAGGGCCGACTCCGGCACCGTAAATGTTCGCCACCGCCGGTGTCCGTGATCACTATTGCATGAAATTTTAAAAAGAACCATACGAAAGAACAATAAACATACGTACGTGTGTTACATGGGAATCGAACCCGAGTCTTTCGCGTCGCAGCTAGAGTACTCTACCGTAAAGCTACGCCAAAAGTGCGACTTCAACTCTAAACTGAGTTTATGTAGGCTGCATATTGGGTAAGAATTTGCGTTTACGTGTGAAATAAATTGTTTCAGAAGAGTGAAGTAACAACCGTGTGCCACACAACGCGAATTGTGCAAATTGTGCGCCGTTATGCTCTTATGCACTACAAAATCCCAAGGCATAACTTTTCATTGGGTTATAGTCACCGAGACTAATCCGGCGATTTTATGTACAGAACGAATGTCGCACATTTCACCAGCGTAACGTGAATACTGATTGTTCCCACTCATTATTAGGTCTAAAATTCTGAAAATTTGCGAAATGTGAATGTCGCAAGACAAAAGAAGTTGATGTTTGC